GTGTGTGTGTGTGTGTGTGTGTGTGTGTGTGTGTGTGTGTGGGATTACATAACCCATAACATCAAGATAAAACAGATGCTCGAGTCTCAGAGCTCCAACATCTGACAACTTCTCGGCTTTATCTCACTCTCACAGTTCGGTCAGGCTTTTTAAGACTCGACTCGATTTCACGTGTTAATCTGACAGGAGCGCCTCCGCCTCACACAACGTGGACGTGTGCTGGATTTAAAATCCTCAACACCAGATAATTCCTACACTCAGGTTTTTTCCTCTGTTCAAAAAATAAAATAAAGAAGAAAAACTCCATTCAGACTGGGTCAAAAATAATAATAAAAATAATATCCATTTTGGGCCAGTAGGTGTGTTTTTATTTGACAGTGTTTATTATAACCTCCAGGGCCGGCCCGTGCCATAGGCAGTGTAGGCAAATGCTTCTGGTGACGTCCATCCAGGGGGCGCCAACAATGTGGGACAAAAAATATATTTTTTCAGAGTCTAGTTGATTTATTCTGTAAATCTGAAAAATCACTGATTCCTCAGGTTTATGAAGGTAACTTGTTCTGTTTTGTTATTTCATGAGGTGTTATAAGAAGGATGTTTCATGATAAAAGCATCATATGATGCAGTCAGATTAACTCCTGATGCTCAGTGCGAAAAATAAAATAAAATACGTATAATAAAAGTTTCAGTTCTGATCTCAGATAAGTTCAGGTAAAAGTATGGTCTAACTATTTTTGTTTGAATTTATATATTCAAGAAAAGGGGCAGATATTATACGATTGTTTTCTTCTTCTGCTACCTTTCATTTAGAATTTGTATTTTAATTGTAAATAGAATGTATGATTTTTTAAAGAAATTAACAAACTTTATAAATAAAAAATAATACTGATTTAGGTTGTTTTACTAATCATAAGAATTTAACAAAATGCTCTTCAAATGACTGGAAAATAATTGTAATAATAATAACTGTAGAGCTTTTCCCGTGGAGTGTACCCCTGGACCCCCCTAGAGCTGCTTCAGTCCACAGCTGCTGGTTAACATGAACAGATGTTCCTCATGATGTCACCAGGTGTTGGCAGGTATGAGGTAGACTATTCTGTTTCAAATATTTTAATAGTACAACCTGGTTTCTAAAGATTAAAAATAGTATTAAAGACAAAACTTTTTAATTTAGTATGTGAATGTATGGAAATTTACAGTGAGATTTGGAAAACTACACAAGGAGCAACACCTGGAATCCTGCCTAGGGCCACAAATGAACTTGGGCCAGCCCTGGAAACCTCTCAGTAATTAGGTTTTTGGGTAAGTGGCCAAAAATTAACAGTAAAAATTYCTAAAATATCATCAGACGAAAAACGTAAGTTAAAAAAATCTGATACCGTTGCATATTTTGTGGTTGATTAACTGAATTTTAGATACAGTCCAATCTTTACTTTAACCAGTAGAAGAATCAACCAGTCTCTATCTTAATATAAACTCGCTCCAACATTATAAACACAATGGGCCTCATGCAAGAACATGTTCGTATTCTTATCCTAAATTTCTCTTACTTTTGTTCGTACGAAGGG